TTTGCCCATTAAGTGTAACAATGCAGGTTATAGATGAGCAAAAGCAACCAACACTTCTGCAGTTTACTGCATAAAATAAGCATAAGGGATGGCATTTGGAGCTTGAGCGAGCTAGAGAATCACCTCAGTATACACCCCAGGGTCCTCTTCTATATCTCTGTTGCCCTTTGGAATATGACACCTGCAAGATAAAGCTCCTTCTGCATTTCTAGGTCATTTGGAAGAGATAGGGGTAGTCACAGGGCTGTAAAGTAGCTAAGGTTAGTTTATGAGAGAGACCAGAGAAGAAAGACTGCATTGATAGTGGTTGCTCAAAAGCTAAGTTCTTAGTAATCAATTGTTGAATAATTGAACCGCAACCCACGGTTAGATTAAACTAGGTCAAATTTAAGTTTCCAGTATCGACTCTGTGTAAAGCAAGCCGGGGTGGAGGAATTAGCACGGAAGTGGTGCTGACCTGAGCGGGCAGTGTGGGATTTGGGTGGTTTATTCTAGATATGACTCTGGTTACGACAGGTCCCTCATTTCTGTGCTCTAGGAAACAAGAAACCCATTTGGGGCACGATCTCCACAAAAGCTCTAAAGACTAATGACTCTGTACTGGGTTTTCTCATCTATAAACATATCTCACAGGGATGCCGTGAAGATTAAATGCGGTCTAACACTTGGCAGAGACCCAGCGTACAGCAAAGAATTAAATAAACAGTGGCCCACATGGGCTGTTGAGTTAAATACCCATTGGTTAGTTATTAACTCTAGGAAATCATTGCCTTTTCTGCTGTGTAGAGAAGGGAAGGGGAAATGGAATATTGAGGTGACTTGCCAAGGTACTAGGGCAGAAAGAGAAGCTACCCCACGAGTCACGTGGAGGCTATCCAAAGGTCCCTTGCTCCCACTTTCTTCGTCAGTAGTAGCCGAGGCAAGCCCTCATAAGAGGAAAGTCATCAAAGAAAGCAGCCGCTATCACTTTATCGGGTCAGTGGAGGCTCGTTATATATAAGAAGGCCTAAGGCAAGCCTTCTGTGGAGATCGTGCCCTAGGAGTAAACTTGGGTGGAGCCCTGGAAGCCAGCTGGAAAAGGACATGTTGTAAGATGTTTAATGGGGAGGACAGATCGAAAAACGTGAGGCTGTGGCACCGGGGTAGGGCGTATGTGTGTGCGGCAAGGCGGACGTGGGATTTGAAATCGAGAGTTGGAGAACGGCATAGAAATAAACACGAGGCACGCCCCCTGCCTTGCAGTTCGAACAGGAGTGCGCAGCGGATATAGTCGTGTGACATAGTGAACATTATCTGTTTCTAAAAGAAGTCTGTGCGTTATTACAGAGCGTTGAGAAATTCTGGGCAAGCGTCCCCTCTGCCTATGCTGGATGCGCTCACCGGTTAGACTATGTGGAGCGTGGACTCACACTGTAAATGTTGTAGCCTGTAGCTCTTCAGCAGTGGTACCGTTTGCTCCCAATGATCAGCAGCCGCCAGAAGCTCAGATCCCGTAATGGGATGCTCATGGGTATGGGACCAAAATGGCCCAGGGTTATGGGAGAAGGGTCGAGGGAGCAGGAGTTGGCTACCTCCGTTCCCTACTTGGTGTCTTAAAGCCAGCTCCCCCGTGATCAACCCTAGCAGGAATTTATTACCCTGACAACTATTACCCTTCACTCCTTGTTTGACCTTATAAGGGTATTACCCCAGGCCTTGCAATCCCTGAGTATGTAGGTGAAGTATCTTCCAACATCCCTGCCCTGGCCAATGGTGATGAACCCGAGAGACCCTGGACACCTCCCGGGGGCATTAACAATCCTTTCTCTCCCCACACAATAAACTAGCCAGTTCTCTGAAGCTGTTTCTGGGTATATTTATCACTCCCTTACCCACTGCTGACTGAGATCCCCCACCCAACCCAACCTGCGCCGACCTAAGCTTTCTTCCCTCCAGGTGGCACATGGAACTCTCTCAATGCAGTGACACATTTATATGGGACAAAGCTCACACCTGATAGTATCTTAAACGCTCATGTGCTCACCATTATTGTAAATTATTGCCAATATCAGCTCGATATATACAGAATTAACAGTAATTAATTTCAAATGTTAAATTGTTTTAACATTTGAAGTTTTATTTTGAAATGACAGTTGGTCGTCTTCCTGTGAGCTTTGGATATTCTTGTCTTAGCTAAGATAGAAGCATGTGGTAGTGCCTTCTTAGGGTTATCCCTATATACTAAATAAGGATATGGTAAAGCCTAGAGCACAGAAGAACCACCAGTAATAAAAGACCAGATCGTGCAATGGTCTTACGGTGACAGCTGCCCAAGCCAAGAGTGTTTCATGACAGCAAAACATCAGCCATTTACAAAGATTCTGCTTCTATGGCCTTCCCAAGCCCAGCCATTCTAACGGAAACAAAATGCTCTTTCTAGCATCTATACGGGTGTGTGCTTAGCAGAAATGAAGGACCGCTTTGCTTCCCAAACCAACGACATAGTTTAAAGAAAACATTTTCTATACTGATTAAATGATAGTTTTGCTCCTAGTGCTTTGAAACACATCATCTAACTTATAGGTCATGGGATTCTTAAGACGCACAACATTTTAAAATCCTCATTGAAAAGAGGAGAAACAGAAGAAATCCAGGCATAGACGGAGAAACAAGCTGAAGCCTAGATTTTCTGGACTTAGAAATCATGCTGTCTAACGCTGGCTTCCAGCCACATACAGCTCTGTGTATGTTGACATCGCTTGGTGTGCTCATGGCAGAGAGAGCCATCTGCCCCTTGCAGGGAGGTACGACCATGTGACTGGGTTGTCCTTAGTGGAAAGAAAGCAAAGGGGAAAGATTGCTGCTTCCAATCTTGTCGATTACCACACCCTGCCCCATCCCCCCACCTCCGTGGTTTTCAGTGCCGTTTTCCTCTTATCCTACAGATGCAAGGAACAGTGGAGATAGTAGGGTCAGGGAAGCCATGGATAGAAAGAGTCTGGGCTACCAAACTACTTCCTGTATGAAGAAGGGCTTCCCCACCAACCTTACCACGATCTGACTTGTGAACAGACATTAATCTGCATTGTTCACTGTGACTTGCTGATACTTCGAAATCTGCTTTGTCTGCTTACTGCCGATTAGCTCCACTAATCCTTAGTAGCGATTTGTGTGTGTGTGTGTGTGTATGTGTGTTTGTGTGTGTGTATTACAAGTAACACGTGTAGGACAGAAGTCTACATATCTTCTCGTTACTCTTTCCCTCTCTTTGTGAGACGAAATATCTCACTGAGCCTGGACGACGAACTAGATAGTCTGGATAATCTGGCTGCCCAGGGATGTCCGGGAATCCTTCTGTACTGCCTTCCCAGCAGAAGAATTATAGATCTACACTGCCAATAAGTCCAGTGGTTTCAGGGTGCTGGAGAGCCAAACTCATGCATGTGTGACAATTGCTTTACTAACGGAGCCTAATATAAAGTTTTTGAAAAAAATCAATCCATTTTTATTTTGACCACCCCAGATTAAATGTATTTTTCTATTTATCATCAGAACTACAAGGCATATCTATCTATCTGTCTATCTATCTATCTATCTATCTATCATCTATCTATCATCTATGTATCTATCATCTATCACCCATTCATCTATCCATCATCTATTTATTGCTTATGTACGTATCTATCTATGTATCATCTTTTGTCATCTTTCTGCCCAACAATTCTGTAATATAGCATAAAATATTTTCATTCTGTTTCAGCTTGTTTTACAATCATTGAAAATAACGTATAGCGATTACAAGATGAGATTTCAGTAGCTGTCCACAAGTGTTTTAGTGATGACTATGACTACTGAAATTTGTTTGATTCTTAAATCTTGGGGCAGAAGGAATATCAATTCAGTTCAGTTTATGGTGCTATAAAATTACCCTGGGTGGCTCTTGGTATTTTATAAAGTTCCTCCAGTGGTTCAGAGAATTGAAACCAGGGCCTGTGGGTGTCAATTAAACATTCACTCTGCTATGGGGATACATCCCAGTCCAAGCACTTTGTAAAGGAAGAAGTCTTATTTATCTCAGAGTTGTAGATGCTCAAGATCACAGCGTCCTCAGCATCTGCTCGGCTCTGGTGAGGGCCCCATGGCAGACGGTATCACAATGTCATGAGTGTGTGCCAAAGAGACAAGATGGTGGTATGAGGAGTCAGAGAGGTCAGAGAAGATGGCATCCTTCCGACCTCCTTCTAGAGAAAAACACTAACCTCTGTGGAACCCCATGACCCAGTTATCATTCACCAAGCATCACTTGGTAAAGGTTTTTCACCTCAGTACCACCACAATGCAGCCCAAGCTTCCCTTACATGAGTTTCGAGAGATGCTCTCAGACCAGATCTAACCATAGCGGGGAGCAGCAAGATCTTCAGATATGATCATGTTTGCACGTGCTCTCTTTGCAGCCTAAAATTGAGATGGTACTCACTACATGACTTGATTCACGTTTTTTTGACCGAATTTAATTTTTGAGAGGCAACACATTAATAAGTTCATTTTTTGTGTCAAATGTTTTGACTATGGTAAGATAACTCACATTTATTCCTTTGGGGTATGTAATGAGAGTCTTTTATATGTCCAGAACCACTGGTGTGAGTAGAGTAGGTTCATTTGGGGATGCCTGATGGTTTATAGTGTGCTTACTGTGTGTCAGTTGTTCTTCTAGTGACCACCCAGAGTTTCATTAATCCTCAAGATAATTCCATGAGAATAGTACTCTGTCCAGTTCATTTTATCATGTGGAAATCAAAGAATGGGACCGTTTAGGAACATCCCAAGTTCACAGAACATGTAGGTGGTGGGGCTTGAACACAACTCCACCTAACATGGCGTCGGGGCCTGTGCCTTTACTTATTGTTCACACCTTTGCTATGTGAATATGGATTCTCTGTTTTTGCTGCTTTTTCTAATGATATTATCCTTTTCTAACACTTTACATGAAATCAGCACAAATGTAGATCAGAACAACCTACTCTTATGAGCTCGGATTCCATGGTCAGGAGTCCAGATGCAGCTTCCCTCAGCATCTTCAGCTCAGCATCTTGAAAAGCTTCAGTGAAGGGGTCATCCCGGCAAAGCTCTTCTTCGAGTTTCATATCCTCTTCTACAAAATACACAGGGGAGAGGAAATGTCACTTCAGTCTTCACAGTCTGTTGCGGTAATTATTTAAAAAATGGCCACTGGTCAAGCCAACTATCTGAGCTGCAGTGGCTCTGCCTAGCTCAGCCACCATGTTCTGTGGCCAGAGGCCACATGTGTGCCGCAGCTAGAAACGGTCAGCCAGAAACACCAGTCCTGCCACCCATGAGACGCCATCTCCTATGCTGTCTCTGCAAGGCTGGACATTGCCCAGACCATCCTGCCATCCACACAGGCTTTAATGCTTAAAGATTAATCAAAGACTTTATATATTTGGTAAAGCTCAATAACAATATGCCCATACAAAGAGAGTTGTTTTCCAATTAGCTAACCTAAATAAAAGTTGTTACCTAGGACTGCTCTCCATACCTGCGTGACTCTCCATCACTCCATCTCTGCTCTCTCTAGCTCCTCCTCTTCCTTTTCCTCTCCTTACTCCTCCTACCTTAGCTCCTCCTACAGCAGTCCACTAAGAAAGCTGAACAAAGTGACACAGACTTATAATCCCAGCAGTGGGAAGATGGATACAGGCACATCCCTGGGTCTGAACCATCCAGCCCAGCATAGCAGGATAGAGAAAGACCCCAGCTCAAAGTGGGTATATGAGGGATTCCTAAGGAAAGGCACTCAAAGTTGTCCTCTGGCCTCCACACATGTGCTCACACATGCATACACACATGTACACACATATAAACACATGTACAACACATGTGCGCACACATGTACACACATGTACACACATGTACAACACATGTACACACACATGTATGCACACATGTACACAGACATGTATGCACACATGTGCACTGTCACGCACATCCACAATAAAACATTGAGACTGGAGACTCAAAAGCAAATGTGAGGGATGGCTTGTCACTCATTTCCTGAGAGTGAGTTAAACCCCTCATCTCATAGGTAACAATTTTTTTTTTTTTAGAAAGAAGTGGATGCTTATTCTTGTGATACAGTGAGTCACCTAAAGGAGACGGGAAAGGACACCAGTCAAACAGGCTTTCAATACTTGGATCCTACTCAGAGAAGTGCAAAGTAGAGTCCAGTTTGGTCAGTTGACCGGACATCTAGAAGGCTGTGGATGTATTGGAAGGGTTTTGGTTATCATGTGGGGTAACAATGCCATGGTGACCTTGGCAGGTGGCCAGATAGATGAAGTAGAAGTTTGAGTTGCAGAGTTCCTGAAAATCCCTTCAAAAGTACGTTGAATGTATGTTTTGATCATAAAAAGACAAGGCAACTGGAGGCCGTCAGAAGATGCACACAAAGGCACAGTGTGAGGACATACTGACAGGAAACATGTTAAGGACCAGAGTGCTCACCAAAATGTTCCTTAGGCTCAGCAGAGTTGGTGCTACATCCAGGGAAGGAGAAAGGGCATCCACTGAGCATCCAGAAGATGCTGATGCTGATGATACGGCTTGTATTATGAGGCTAGCTCTAGCCTCGCCATCCTTGGGTACTCATAGGATGAGAGGAAGCATGAAAGACTGAGTGTTTATCCCAGAGCATGAATATCAGAAGAGTCCAGTTAAAAGAGAAGTGACTTTAATACCTAATCCTGACAAGTGTCCATGTTTCCCCCATGCCTGGTGAGATGGGTGTCTGAAAAAGAGCAACTTGATTTTAAACAGCAGAGGAACTGCATTTCTTCCTACATTTGATGTAGCATTTTAAATTTGTGCTTGTAATCTGAGACCCATGCAAGCCCCAGTCATACTAGGGCTTAGCTCTTCCTAGTATACCACAGCTTCGTCATGGATATGGAGAAAGTCAGGATACTGTAGATAGTTCCATATAGCCTCACCTAGTCTCCAAGATGACATGATTGTGTGAGTACTGGAGCAAGAGAGAGATCCAAGTTTGGAAAACAACAAAATGCTTCTGACTTGAGCTCAGTAAGGGGGGCACATCTGGCTCAGTCATGTGCTTGAAACAAAATGACAGGACCGATCTCTGAGGTGCTATACTGAGTAGTTCCAGCGTGGGTCAAAAACACAACATAGTCAGGTTTTTCCTTTGAATGAGTTCAGCTCTATTAAGAGAGAATTTGGTCCCCAAAGGTATTCCAACAATAAGAAAAATCAAGTTTACCAGGTTCAAAAGATGGTTTGTTTGTGAATATCACACAAACATGACCTCCTCAGCATTGCTTGCTTCTGAGGAAAGAAACAGAATCTTATAGTAGAGGAGAGACTAAAACCCAGAAGAGAGGGGATAAAAATGAAATAATAAAGTACTTTGGATAAAGTGGACTTCTATAGCTTTAAGATAGCAAAGGAACATTGGTAGAGTGAAACTATGTATCGAAATAAGATTAAAAAGTAAGGAAAACATTCTCAATTATCAAAAACATAGTAGATGAACATAAGCCAACAAACAAAGTAGTATACATATTCAGTCTCACGCTTATTGCTTATGTCAAGAACGCTATCGGTTACCCATATGATTATTTTAGATCCTGGATTCTTCCTGCACAGCACATGAAAGCATGTGGCTCATGGGATTTCTAGCTCACCCAAGTGCTATTAGCCATGACCATATCCTCAAGCTTCTGTGAAGAAACAGTGTATTTGGAATATACCAATTGATTCTAGGTGAGATGTATACGCCTTTCATAAAATAAGTGCTAAAGAGTTATAAACGAAGAAGCAGGAATGTCTTATTATATCTGGTAAAGTGTCACCTCGCATAAGGAACTGGAATAGACCAGTCTAGTCCACTTTCAAGATCATTATCGGCTTCGTGTGCAAGCTCTTTCTACAGTGGCAAATTTATGAGCGAAGTTGAAATTTTTTTGAACCATTAAAATCAACCTCTCACCACACTTTCGGTATGTATCCCATGAAAAGAAAAAGCACGGTCTAGGGCTCAGGAATGGAGGAGAATACATAGAAATGAGGAAAATAGAAATGTGAAATTAAATAGGAATGAAATAAGAAATAAAAGGAAAAGCAACAAGAGACATTTGCATTGTCTGACTCCAAGGAGCTTCTACCCTCAAGAATATACACACACTCATACACATTCACACACACTCACACACATTCACACTCATACTAACCCACTACAGATACTCCCACATACACTGATATACACACACCGACACACACATTCACACACATTCACACACGTACTCATACTTGCTCACACACTCACACTCATATATACCCATACTCACACACTCAAACACAAACACAAATACACATACACACACTCACATACACACTGATACTCACACACACATATACGCACACACATTCACACACACACTTACATATACTCGCTCACACACACTGACACACACTCACACATTCACACTTGCACACACACATTCACATACGTACTCACACTCACACATATTCACACTCACACTCACTCAAACACACTCAAACATACATATACAAACACACACACACACACACACACACCATTGGTCCAACATCAGGAGAACATGCACTTGGCCTCAGTGTCCCAGCGCTGTGTGACTCTTCGGTCACAATCTCTGGGACCCACCATAGCCATTGCGCCAGTCAAGGAGAGACCCGTGTCCCTGATTTTAGAGACATTCACCCACCCATATGTGAATCAAACCCAAGACTGTGGCCACTTTGATTCTGGAGCAGCTCAGTCAACTCACTCTTCCTTTCCCAGGCAAGAGTGTCCCAGACAGACAATACTATATTCCAAGTGTATCACTTGGAGGGGACGATTACAATTTAACATGGCCAATATCCTTAAGTGTTTAAATCAATATGGTAATTAACAAATGTATAAGGGTGAGTAGTTGTGAGAGCGTGGTACAGGATTTTACTGGTATAAAACACACAGTTTTCCCATCCTTACCCCCTCCTATCCTCATTTACAAGGATCTCCCTTGATTTCTCCATGAGTGCATCCCTTGAGATGGACACCTAAGATTGCACACTATGACCGAGACACTCTCAGACAAGTGAGTTTGCTTTGCCCCATTTCTTAAGGTTTCCTGCCCTCTGGTGGTGATATCAGGAGGTGTGCTGTATTTTTTCCTTGGGAGGCCAAAGTAGAAACATTTCATTAAAAATTAAATGAAGTCACCTCTCTGTGTGTTTCTCTGTCATAATGGGCATGTGTGTTGACTCTGTTCCTCCTTGTGTCTTCTTAGGGATGATTTTCAGGATCAAGCATTCCCAGACTAGAACCAAAAACAACCTATCCCCAATGGCTTCCACTGAAAATGCAGTATGGTGAAGTATAATTCTAAGAGGAGACTTTGGAGATGAACCCACTGGGTCTATAAAGACATGGGCATTTGTCAGTGCACATGGGTATTCTGAATTAGAGTTATGCTACTTTGCCATACCAGGCTAAAGACACACACTGGCCGTTGGGCATGCTTTACTAGGGGGAGGTTTTTTTTTTTTCTCTTGTTTTCTATTCTTAGCACTAGGTTGGCTTAGTAATAAACATACAATACCTTGTGCTTATAAAAATTAGGGGAACATTCGTCATAATTAGCAACTAAGATGTTTAAAATTCACTGGGATACGTGGTCACTCAGTTAATTCGCCAAGCACTGTATCATTCTTTAGATCATATCCTCTGACAATATGAGCAATAATTTGAAAATTAAGTCAATGAGTCAGAAGGAAACATATTGATCTGGGGGAGAATTTATGCAATAGATATGTCATTATGAGTATTTTTAAAGATTTTCATAAATAGGACATATTTAACCTTTTATTGAGAGAAACTATTTTTTTCCACTGACAGATGTTATCGTTTTAAAAAATTAAATTTGGAACTGTACCTGGAAAGGTTTTCAATTCCTCCCCAACCCTCCTTTTCAGTCTTTTTATTACCTTTCTATCTTGAAATAGTTTCAGACTAAACACTTGCGGAAGTGGTACAAGTGGGGGGTTTCTCTCTTGGAAGCCCGTCCACTTTTGGGAATTTTTCCTGTTTTTCCTTAA